CTAATAGTTCCCCCCCCACCTCCTGCTTAGCGGTTGTTCTTAGTAAGAGGGTTAATCAGTTACCAACTACTTCATCATAGCCAGAAGTGAAAGTGTCCTTTCGTATTTTATTTTATAATTCACTTACATTTAAAATGTTATGAAATAGTTTGGACACGTAAAAAGGTATAAAGGAAAATATAATCAACACCATTCACTCAGTTTTACCAAACTGTTGAGACCCCTGAAGACCCCCACCTCATCACATCCCCTCCTAGTTCACACTCTTCAAAGTCTGATGTTTCTCATCCCCTTGGGTTTTTTTCTGTATATTCAGGACACATGGATATTCAGCCAGACAATATATAGAGCTGCTTTACATGGTGCTGTGTGACACATGGGCTTTCCCAGTGGCTCAGCAGTAAAAATCCACCTGCCATGCAGGAGCCGCAGGAGACTGGGGTTCGATCCCTGGGTTGGGAATATCCCCTGGAGAAGGAAATGGCAACCCACTCCAGTATTCTTGCCTGGAGAATCCCATGGACAGAGGAGCCTGGCAGGCTATAGTCCAAGGAATCAAAAAGAGTCGGACACGACTGAAGTGTCTCAAAAGTGTGACATAGATAGTGTTATTATGCCTGTGTTCTTTTCTAACTGACTTTTCTATTTCTTCAGAAAGAGTCGTTTGCTTTTTTTTTTTTTTTATGATTGGTTGGTTTTTTGTTTTTGTTTTTTCTGTAAGAGTCATTTGCTTTGTTGTGTGAAGCTATGATTCATTTTCACATTGGGTGATTACACCATAGTTTATCTTTCCATTCTCTTGCTGACGGAGATTTAGGTTGTTTCCAGTTTTTCAATATTTAAGTCAATGTTGTTATAAACATTTCTGCCTCGGCTTCTCGTACACATGTGCCAGCGTTTCATCAGTAGTATACTTCACAGTGAAATTGCTGGATCTTAGGGCAAATACTTGTTCAAGTTTGTTAGACCATGCCAAACTGTTTTCCGGACCAGTTGTATTAATTTACATTTCCACTAGCCATAAATGAGAGTTCCCATTACGCCACGTCCTCAGCAGCATGTGATATTGTCAGACTTTCAGTTTTTAACTAATCTGATAAAATTTAAATGGCATGTTATTGTGGTTTTCATTTGCATTTCCCCGTTGACTGTGAAGTTAAGCACTTTGAATTCTCCACAGCACCTGCTTCCATCTGACTTCCTCCCCCGAGTCTGCTCCACATCCCCAGACTCTCTTGAAATTTGGTCAACTTTTAGTCTGAATGACCACAACCTCAGAAATCATTTCTAGGCACTGGAGCCCTGTGGATAAGCACTTCTTTAGGGCTCTATCCCATCCAGGACTGTGTTGGAGGACTTCATACGTACTCATGCATTTAGTGCCTGCAACAAAGATGAGAAAACAGAATCAGAGAGGCCAGGAACTTGCCCAGGGTCACACGGCTGGCACCTGGCAGACCTAAGCCAGGTGCTCTTTACTGCTCCGTAGGAGGCTGCAGGCTACCCTCTGTCCTTCACTCAGGAAGCACCCCTGGGGGTCGGGGTGCACCTGGGGAGTAAGCAGCTGTGCCCTCAGAAGTCCGCTGAGCAGGAAGCCCCATGAAGGGATGGATTCAGGGCAGGAAGGGCCACGGGACTGGGAGGCCTTTGTACTCAGTGCCATGGAAACCAGAGATGACTTGAAGACTTCATCATTCAAGGCTGATGTTTCCCAGAACGTGAGTGGCTTGTTTTAGATGGTTTTAAATATCCCTGGACCCCCTAGAGAGAGAGTGAGACCCTTTTCAAATTTCTTTGACTCCTCTGATGTTGGCAAGGTGGCGGGGTTGAGGGGGGGAAGAATCTCAGTTTGATGCTAGTATGTCTTGAACACCTCTCTCTGGTACTCTTTAATCTCCCTGTTTAAACAAAGACAAACTAGCTCTCCAACTCATCAGAATCTTAAGCAAGGAATAGTGTCTTGCTAAAACTCAATTTCTCTCTTTTGATTTCCTTGTATTCAGGTTTTACATTTCATTGCATTTTGTTTCATGGTGAGTTGGTTAGTTCGTTTAAGAAACATTTATACAATACCTACTAATATGCCAGGCACTGTTGCAAATGCTTTAAAAACACTGACAATTCTCCCAAGAACTCTATGATGTAGGTTATTAATATCTCTATTTTACAAATGAGGATTCAGAGGCCCAGAAAGGTTAAGTGAACTCCCTGAGGTCACAGAGTATATAAATGGCAGTGCTGAGATTTAAACTGAGGCAGGCTGGCCCCAAGTCTGTGTTTTAACCACTGTGGTGCATACTGCCTCTCCATTTCATACTAGGCACCTGTTGAAGGAGGACTTCCCTGATGCCTCAGTGGTAAAGAATCCGCCTGCAATGCAGAAGACATGGGTTCGATCCCTGGGTTGGGAAGATCCTCTGGAGGAGGGCACCACAACCCACTCTCGTATTCTTCCCTGGAGAATCCCACAGACAGAGGAGCCTGGCAGGCTACAGTCCCTAGGATCGCAAAGACTTGGACACAGCTGAAGCAAATGAGCACGAATGCATGTACCTACTGATAGTCTGACTTTCCATTTTGAGATGTGAGGTCAGGTAAAGAGAAACAGCAAGTAGCTCACAGCACTGGTGAGAGCCTTGAAGGCAGTAAGCGGCAGGAGTTCTAGAACATTCCAGCATAGCTTCATGGATGCAGGGACAGAGCAGGTGGGCCCTGAAGACTGAGTGGGGCGGGGGTGGGGGGAGGGGGAGGTGTCTAAAAAGCAGACTCATCTCAGGAACTTGTCTCATGCAAAGGCAGGGAGGCATGAAGGGGCCTGGGATGCTGGGGACTGCTGAGCAATTCAGAGCAACTGGCCAGTAACAGCAAGAATCCAGCCCCCTTGGACAGCACTTTACGGTTCACAGAGCAGTGCCGCCTCTGCTTTCCCACGGACTCTTCTTAACTGCCAGGTGCCGTGTGCATTCCTGTCCCCAGTTTAGAGATGATAACTGAGGTCAGAGAGCTAGAAAAGCCAGAGAAGAGCTATTATTTGCTCCAAGATGCTCTGGCCACAAATTTGGGGCTCTGTGTTCTGTTGCACTGTTTCAGGTATCTTAGATGGCAAGCCACAGAAAAATAATTCTGCCAAATAGGTGGGGGGTTTTGGTGTATGTCAAATCCAGGTGTGGACATCAGGTATAGCTGGATCCAGGCCCTCAAGCGCTGCCATGGGGACTCTGGATCTGTATTTTTCAGGATTGCCATTTCTCTAAGAGATGACAATGGAGAAAGGAATGGCAACCCACTCCAGTATTCTTGACCTGGAGAATTCCATAGACAGAGGAGCCTGGCAGGCTACAGCCCATGGGGTCGCAAGAGTCAGACATGCCTTAGCGACAAAACCACCACCACCAAGAGATGACAAAGATAGCTACCAGCTTCTAGCAGGCTCCCAAAAGATTACCTCTTAATAGAGTTCTAGAAGAAATTCCAAGATCGCTCTCATTGGTCTTGCCTGGGTTGGTTTCTGTGTCTGATCCCTTCACTTGACCAGGTGGGTGGAGTACTTTCCTGGTCAGGGCTGGATTGGGTGCACACCCTGGTTCAAGTCAGCTTCAGTTTGAGGGGCTGTTCGTAAAAGGAGAAGAGATGCCCAGAAGACAGAAGCAGCAGAAACATCCCCTCCTTCCCCAGGGGCTTGTTTGTCATTGGTGCAAAGCTGAGGAATGAGGGACCTTGAAACTGGCAAAGGCTCTTGTGCTTTTTCCTCTGGCCCCAGATGGAGCCGCTGGGAGCGATGTGGACAGAACCATGCCAGGCCCTATGCTGAGGCTGGAGTCAGAGATGTGGATACACCAATGAAGGGCAGACACACACTCCATCTTCTCTAACGGGAAGTCAGATCCCTAAAGCGTGATGATCAGACTCCTCCATGGTGTGGAGCCAGGCATGAGCAGAGCTCCTTAAGGCAGATTTAAATACTATCTGTGCCAACATTATTTTATTTTAACAGTGATGTTATTCATTTTAAAGTGTGTTGGGGAGGGAACTCCCTGGTGGGCCAGTGGTTAGGACTTGATGCTTTCCCTGCTATGAGCCCTGGGTCAATCCCTGGTCAGGGAAATAAGATCCTGCAAGCCATATAAGCAGGCTCTGACTGGTACCTACCCACGCAGACACAGAACTGAGGGTGCAGCTGGCAAAGTGCCAGCCTGGTGAGTTGTTCCTCTGCCCAGGGTACCAAAGCCTGCTTTTCCTGGACAGGCTGACTCGGGTCTCCAAAGAGGTCTCTTCTCCATCTCACGCAGATCAGGGAGTCCACAGCGCCTGCATACGCTCAGGCTGAGTTCCCTGGTGCTTCCTGGGGGGGCTCACCCAGGCAGGCTCTGTGGTTGAGTTATCTCGCTAAGCTTATCTTAGCATTAGGTAGTGGTCTCCTTTGTGGTCTAGTCTTGGATTTGTCATTCAATGAGAAGCCAGTTCAGGGAAACCTGATGTGCTGCAGTCCATGGGGTTGCAAAGAGTCAGACACAACTGAACAAGAGCAACAAGAAGCCAAGTAATTGGGCTAACATCAACATGGGGATTTCATGGGAAGGAAGTATGGATGCTTATCAAATACAACTTTCCAAGCCACTTTCCCCTTTCTTATCTATATGGATAAACACAGACACATCGTGCTACAGCAACAGGTTTATCGGATAGCGAGCTCCTCCCCCTTTCCATCCCCCTCTCACTTGTGACTGTGCTGGGTGCCCAGGAAGAAGGCAGGGGAGAAGTGGGGAGGGACCCTGGGGGTGCAGATCGGCCACTTCTAAAGGGCAGGAACCTGTGGGAGCAGCCACGGGCTCCTCAAACATTTGTTGTTGTTTTTTTTTCATAAACAAATCCAAGAAACTCAGAGGCAAGTCTTCCAAAGGAGGGATTCGGACCAGAGTGGGGCAGTCCAGGGTCCCATGGTCTCTGGATCCCAGGCTCACCCTCTCACTGTGTGTCTCTTCCAGGCTCCGGGAGGCAGCATGCCGAGTGCCTGGGCTGCGACTTTGCTCCTGCTAATGCTCCAGGGAGGTAAGTAGCTGCCCCGAGTTCTGCAGGTAGGGAGCGGCCGCGCTGGCTTTGTAGGCTGCAGGGCAGGGCTAGAGGGTCGGAGCCTGTAGCATCCTTCCACTTACAGCTGACATGGGTGCAGTAGCCCTCTCTACATCAACCAGAACCCATCCAACCAGAGAGCTCCACCATCTAGAAGGGGTTCATGCAAGTCCCACGTGGTCCAGCCCACCGTCCTGGGTCTCCAGGTCTCACTGACTGCAGAGGCTGAGTTGGGGGCGGGGAGGATGAGAGACTTCATCCTTCATCTCCATGGCTCTCTGCCTTGGCCAGCTCCCAATTCTTGGAGGGAGGAAGTCCTGCCTGTGGTCTAAGCTCAGTTTCTCCTCATCTCCTAGGAGATGGTTTTCAACAATCCCTGGGTCCACTGCTGGCACTGATATTCCCCAGAGATGTTAAGCGCTGAGCTGGGAGAGGCTAGGAGTTAGACTTGGGGGCAGAGTTGGGGCTGAGAGATCCAGGAACCCTGGCTGGAGGAGGCGGGACACAGCACACAGGCTCAAATAGGGGCTGGACTGGGGGCAGGGCGGGGGTGCCCTCTGCCGTGGCTCTGCTGACTCATGGGCATTTCTCTCCGGTTTTTACCGAAAGACCCAGAGCTTCAAATAGCTCCGTCAGGAAACAGATGTCAGACTCCTTTGTTATTCCTTTCTGAGTGGTCAGCAGTCCTGGCTCTGAAGGGCCTTTAGGTCACCTGCTGCCGCTCCCCACCCTGCGGGCATAAGTTCCAAGCCCCTGCTGTGTCCCAGGCGCCGCTGAGCAGCCTGTGAAGTTCTTGCGGCCCTGATGCCCAGTCCTCAGCTGAGGAAGCTAAGGCTTAGAGATGGGCCGGGGGCAGGTCCATGGCCACACAGGCAGGCAGTTGCGGAGCTGGGATCGGTTCCCAAATCTGCCAATTCCCATGATCTTAACTGCTTTTACTGGCTGAGTGCCTCATGCAGGCGGCGTGGGCTGCCCCATCATGATAGCATCTAAATACCTCCACACACACACACACCCCTCAAGGAGCCAGTGTCCCCAGATTACTAACAGGGACTTGGAGGTGTTGTGAGTCACGTGTCCACGTCACGTGCCCACTTTTCATGGTCCCCACTGCCTCCCACATGCTGTGATAAACCTGTGGGGTGGGGGTGGGGGTGGAGGGAGAGTGGCCCTGGGGCTCTCTGCCCAGGGCTCAGGGTACTGACCAGGTAATTGGGTTTTTACTCCTTCTGGTCCCTGATTCCACCTCCATGCTAGTTTCTGGGACTACTGTCCCCTCCTCAGTGTTTCATTCCAAGTTTGAGACACTCAATGGCAACCCACTCCAGTACTCTTGCCTGGAAAATCCCATGGATGGAGCAGTGTGGTAGGCTACAGTCCATGGGGTGGCAAAGAGTCAGACACGACTGAGCAGCTTCACTCACTGTCCCATGGTAAGGGCTTCCCAGGTGGTTCAGTGGTAAAGAACCTGCCTGCCAATGCAGGAGACGCAGGTTCGACCCCTGGGCCGGGAAGATCCCCTGGAGGAGGAAATGGCAACCCACTCCAGTATTCTTGCCTGGGAAATCCCATGGTCAGAGAAACTGGAGGGCTATACAGTCCACGGGATCGCAAAAGAGTTTGACGTGATTTAGTGGCTGAACAACAGTAGCCGTCCCTTGGTGGCCTCGAGCTTACCCAGGAATGGCAGCTCCCCTCCAAGCGCTGGAGCCCTGAGAGGGAGTAACCAGGATACGAACCCAGAGAGGACACGGCCACATGGGTTTGGGTCCTGCCCAAATCTGTCCGCTTTTCTCCACAAATTATCTGAACTCGCTTTTCTGTGCCCACCGACAGGGCCTGTGTTCCTCTGCAAAGGACGCCTCCTCCTAGAATAGGATTGGTTTCCACATCTCAGATCCCTTGCTAATGTCTGCCGGAAGCCTTCTCAACTGTGCAGAGGATTCTGAGGCCACACTCACTGGAGAGTGCTGTGATTGATTAGCAATGTCTGCCATGTGTGCGGATATAAAGGACCAGCAGAGACTAGCTTCTGCCTTTCCTGGGTTTCATCAGACCAAAGAGAGAGACAGGAGGCATAGCCCAATCTCAGAGCTTCAGTATTCTCATCTGTAAAATGGTGGAAAGGAGAGTGAAAGTCGCTCAGTCGTGTCCGACTCTTTGCCACCCCATGGACTATACAGTCCGTGGAATTCTCCGGGCCAGAATACTGGAGTGGGTAGCCTTTCCTTTCTCCAGGGGATCTTCCCATCCCAGGGATCGAACCCAGGTCTCCCTCACTGCAGGCAGATTCTTTACCAGCTGAGCCACCACGGAAGACCATAAAATAGTGGTGGGATTAGAAATAAAAGCTGTTTCCAGCAACAATGTTCTTGGCACCGAAAACCAGTTTCTGAGCTAGACGGAGCCCTGGGAGGAATGTACTCCCATCCTCTGGATCTTCATTAGTCAAGGAAAAATAGGGAAAAGCCACTAAGAATGAATCCACTTAAAAGGGGAACAAACTTCTGGTAAATAGTAGGGATGTGGGGGTGGGGGAATAATAGTGTTGGCACGTGATCTTACAAAACAAAACCGGACTAAAACTTAAGTGGATTTTGTCAAGCATTTACCAAAATTTGAATTGTGGTTGGACCCATGTTTTTAGAACCAAAGTGAAGCAATTGACATTGGAGGTGGGAGAGTATGAAATCTTCCAACAAAATTGCCTGAGAGGGCCAGACCTGTGCCACCTTGGTGGTGGTGCTTTGGGTAGTAGGATACATGCATTTTGGCAAATGTATTCAAGGGCTTCTCATTTTCTGAAGCCTTCTTGCTCCCTCAGTGCACTCCAGGTCATCGAGGTCTTTGTCCTGTCTGAGACCCACTGCGAGGGAAGAGAAGGCGCCTCCTTGTCTCTCATTGGCTGCATGAACCCCTCGTGGGATGTGCAGATTCATCTGGCATCTTGGGCGTTCAGGATGTGCCACCTTGAGAGGATGGCTGGCCAGGAGGGATGATGAGCTGGTGTCTGGACACGGGGCTTGCGGAGAGAGCCCGGGGTGGGGACCTACTTAGTTTAGGAATCTCATCCTCACAGCCAGCCTCAGAATTTTGGGAGGCTCAAAAACAGAATTCTCAGGTGGCAAGAACCCCCCTCTTGGCCCAGTCCTTCATCTCAGTGGCCCTGAATCATCATATTCATCATGGCCTAGGGACCCCTGCTTCCCATCACCATCCAGCTCTCAAGGGGGGGTTAGGGGGTGGTGAGCCCTGCAGCCCCCGCCCAACCCCCCAACCAAGGCCTCTGTCTCCCCTGACCTTCCAGCCTGGGGCTGCTCCAACCTCATCTGCTACACTGATTATATGGAGACTATCACCTGCATCCTGGAGACATGGGCCGGGCACCCTGACTCGCTCACCCTCACCTGGTAAGTGGCTGGGCCTCACCAGCCCTGCAGATGCTATTCAGGGTAGCCCTGGAGGGCTGGGATGAGGCAGGACCACCAGAGACCTCGGGTTGAATTGGACCGACTGGGTGCCTGGCAGGTTTTGTTGTTCTGTAGTCTCTGTGTCTGACTTTTTTGCGATCCCGTGGACTGTCGCCCACCAGTCTCCTTGGTCTGGATCTCCTAGGCAAGAATACTGGAGTGGGTTGCCATTTCCTTCTCCAGGGGATCTTCCCAGCCCAGGGATCAAACACACACCTCCTGCATTGGCAGGCAGATTCTTTACCACTGAGCCACCAGGGAAGCCCTCCTAGCAGGTAGTTAAGCAATTTAAAAATATCTGACACTTCATGGGGGTTCACTCAGCCCTTTCACCAATAGTGCTTGGTTTCACTGTGGGCTGAGAACCATGATCTGGGACCATGAGCTGAGAATCGCTGCCTGTGGTCTGGGAATCAGTCTGCCCATCCTACAGATGTTCACACAGGGCTCCTGAGACTCATCCAGTAAGTAGGGCTACAGAGACCATACTCTCTTGCCCACACAGGACTGACTGTGGTTTTGAGACTTCAGGATGACCAGACTCCCGCGACTGTCTTGAACACTGAATACCTGCCGATCATCCCGCTGTGCTTCACATGAATGATCACTTCTGATTCTCACAATTGTTATTCCCATTTTACAAATGAGGACACTAAGGTTCAGAGAGGTTATGCAGTTTGCCCAAGGTCACACAGCCAGTGAACGGTGGAGCTGAGATTCAAACATAGGCAGTCTGACTCCAAGATCCACCGGTCCCTATTAGTGCATAATGCTAAAGAAAACATTGTTCACTGCATTTGTTAAAGAATGGTAAGGTGTATTTTTTTTTCACTTTATTTTTTAAAACAGAATGAGGGGGTCATGCTTTTATTTTATTTATTTATTTATTTATGTTTAGATTAAAAAAAATTTTGGGCTGTGCTGGTTCTTCTTTGTGATGCATGGGCTTCTCTCTAGTTGCAGTGCACGGGCTCAGTTGCCCCATGGCAACTTAGTTCCCGGAGCAGGGATCGAACTCACGCCCCCTGCCCTGGAAGGAAGATTATTAACCACTGGACCACCAAGGAGGTCCCAAGGCAGATTTTATTCAAGACCATTGTGATAGGTGTAGAGGCTGGGGGTTTTGGTGTGGGGAAGAGAGACTGCACTCAGAATTCTGCAAGGAAAACTGGGAATCTATAGCCAAGAAGGGCAGTGGATGGAAAAACACTAAGAGGAAACATCAGGGGTCATTGGGCTCCCAGATAAACTGACCTAAACTGATGGCAGCGCAATGTGGTCAGACATCACCTGGGCAATGGCGGAGGATGAAGAAATTGACCAGTTATGAAGGATGGACGGTTCTGGCTAAGCTGACTTAGCAGGATTCTTGCTGAAATTAGCCAGTGCCCCGAAGTCAGCCCCTAGTTGAGGAGAGAGTTCCAAGGAGCCTGAGCTGAGCCTGGTCAAGGAGAGTCTTTGTCAATATACTGCTCAGGATAGAAAACAGGTGGCTTTCATTCTGTCGTCACCAATTCATTCATTCATTCACTTACTTCTTCGAACATATTTATTAAGGTCTTGCCAGACATTCGCAGGCACTGGGGGCTCACTAGAGCCCGAGACTGACAAAGTCCCAGCTGCCCTGTAGCTGAGACACTGCAGGGAAGACAGACAGTAAACACATAAACAGCCAACAGGATACGTTCTGAGACTGAGTGCTTTAAAGCCCAGGCATCTTGACGCTGGAGTAGAGAGTCAGCAACATGCGGGGGGAGAGTGCTTTAGCCAGGGTGGTCTAGCCAGGCCTCTCTGGGTGAGAAGGAGGTAGTCAGGGAGCTGGGGAGAGGGCATTCCAGGCAGAGGGTAGTACATGTGCAAAGGTCCTGAGGTGGGGACAGGCTGGTGAGTTTGAGGAATAGGGAGGAGGTCAGTGTGGCTGGAGCAGAGTGAGCCAGGGTGAGGGAGAATCACCAGGGAAGGAGGGGAGAGGTAGGCGAGGGCCAGCTTTTATTGTGTGGGTGGTGAGAAGCTACCTGAGGATTTTAGGCATGGAGGTGACAGGGAATTTTTAAAGGTCCCCCTGGATGCAGCCTAAGAGTCTTGGAGACCCCCTTTTTTTTTTTCAGCAGAAGTTTCTATTCCAGCAAATACTTGGCAGAGAACTGAGTCCATGCCTCCATATTAGCCCTGGAGGGTGGTCATGTTCATAGCCTGAAGTGGTAGGTAGGGGAATAAATATCTGGTGAACTCCTCTGTATACTTCAAAACCCACTGTTTCTGCTCACTGGCAGTTAAAACCCCAGAGCATTTCCCCCTAACTTTATACCAACAGCGTTCCTGGAAGGCCACCCAAAGCAGAGGGTAAAGTTTAATTGGCTCTTATCTTGGCCCTGAGGACAGCACTTGTTAGGTACGCATCGGATGTGGGACAGAAAGCGGGCAACAGGGAGACTTGAAATGCTTAGCTTCCTTCCTCTAGAACAGTGATCCAGTTGATGGAACTGACAGGGATATATTTAGGCTCAGTCCAGGAAAGAATGACCCAAATTTCCAAAGTTAAAAGCTACTGCTCTCAAATGGGGCTTCCCCAGTGGCTCAATGATAAAGAATCTACCTGCCAATGCAGGAGACACGGGTTTGATCCCTGGGTCGGGAAGATCCCCTGGAGGAGGGCCTGGAAACCCACTCCAGTATTCTGGCCTGGAGAATCCCATGGGCAGGAGAGCCTGGCAGTCTCCAGTCCATAGGGTCGCAGAGTCGGACACAACAGAAATGACTGAACACGTATGCATGCCTGCTCTTAAGTGAGGTAGTGAGTTCCTGGTCCCCTGGAGGCATCTAAGTCAGGCCTGGACACAGTCCATCAGGGCTGCTTCAGGGAAGGAATATCTTCCCTGGGAAAGGAACAGCTGGACCAAGTAACCCCCCAGCCCCACCTCAAATCCCTCCCAGCCCCAAGATTCTGGGCTTGGGCCCTGACCCTGAGCCCTGAGCCCTGCTGGCCTCCAGCCATGACTGGCTGCTCTGTCTTTGAAGGCATGACACATATGAAGAACTGGAGGATGAGGTCACCTCCTGCAGCCTCCTCCGGTCCACCCAAAATGCCACCCATGCGGAGTACACGTGCCACATGAATGTGTTCCGCCTCATGGCTGACGACTTCTTCAACGTGAGCATGACAGACCCATCTGGCAACTACTCCCAGGAGTGTGGTAGCTTTTTGCTGGCTTCGAATAGTGAGTATCTCTCAGACCCCAGCGCTTAGGAGAATGCATGGTCACTGAGCTGGCCCCCCAGGCCCACCCTCAAGGCTGACCTGTCTTATGTTCTTCCCTCTCCTTCGAGTTCTTTTTGCTATAGTGTGATGGGTCGATCAGTAGGTTTGAGTCTTAACCAAAGAGAGTCAGCAGGGTTATGGATACGAGTTGGACTGGGACCCAGGACCTTGGCCTCCAGTTCTGGTTCAGCCCCTGCCTGTCTGTCACCTTGGACTGCTTCCCTATTTATAGAGTGAGGGTCCTTTGAACACTGACTCTTAGGGATTCTGTTCGGATTATGGGGGACATTGGGTCCCAAGAGAAAAACCTCACTTGAGTTTTCTCCTATTCATTGGCTCTGTGAGGCCCAGCATCTCCCTCCAGGCTGGGGGTAGGCAGGAGTCCACAGGCAGAAGGGGCCCAGCTAGTGGAAGCAGTTGTTTCTCTGGGTCCAGAACCAGGTTGGGTCCTAGTGTGTCCGAAGTGAGATTTCCAGGGAGAGAGGGTAAGAGTCCCATGTCCAGAGGCATGCAAACACAGACTGCTAAGAGAGTCCTGCCTTCCTTGGGAAGGCCCGGCCTCTGCAGTTTGGGAGTTTCTGGCCCTGGATCCCCAACGGTGGGGCGGGGGGCAGGGTGAGAAGGTGTCTGTCATTCACACCCTGGGGGTCCAGGTTTGGATCATTTCACTGTGGGTGTCACCCCACACAAGGTGTGAACAAAGCTTCACACACACCCAGACACACCCAGAGTCTCTCTCACATACACACATTCATAAATACACCCTTGAACACACGCAGGGGTGTCCCACCTACCCTCGGCCTATCCAGCCTGGACTTGCCCACATGCTCGCTCCTACTTGGGCACAGGTGCCCGCACGCTCTCTCAGCCACGCAGATCCAAGCGTGGCTCATTCACAGAGCAGGGGTGCCCTCCTGCCCCTCTGAGAGAGCTGGGCAGACAGCAAGCCTCCCCTTGCCCCTGCAGAGGAGAAGGGACTGCCCCACTGCCCCCCCCACCACCTCACAGCAGGGCTCCAAGTAACTTTTCCCTCTGGCCCTGCCTCCCCCTCCCTGCCAGGGTCTGAAGCCAGGCCTGTGCCCAGATTTGACAGGGGGCAGTGTTCTCCCCCACCCCCAGGCCCCTTTCTCCTCCTGGGCCCTGGACCCCTATCCTTGACCCCATCCCTGATCTGGGGCTCTGGTCCATACCACCCAGCCCAGGACATACCACAAAGTGGAAAACCAGGCCTCCATTGGCCTGGGGAAAAGAGGAGAGGGCCTGGAAGCATTTCCAGTCCCAGGGGACAATGAAACTCCCCCCACCCCCCACCACCTCCTGAGCACCTGCTTTCCCCCGTGACAGTTCGTGGTGGTCAGAGCTTCAGAGTTGCTGTTTGAAATCCCTAGCGGGGATGCTTATTGGTTTCACAAGCATCTCTTGAGAGTCTACTGTGCACCAGCTCTGTCCTAGGAGCGGTGGACCCGGCATTGACCGGAGGACAAAACCTCTGTCTCAAGGAGCTAAGATTCCCCGAGACAGGGGCGGGTGGCAAGCAGGATCACAGAGGCCTAGAGGGCGTGGGGTGGTGACTCAGATCTCTGCTCCTACACTTTCCAGAAAATGTCCAGATGACAGCATGCACATCACATCCCCAGGGCCCCTTCGGGCATCAAACTGCTGCAGAGCAGCCCCGCAGGCACTCTGAGGTGGTAATTTCCATCATTAGCATAATTCGTGCTAATTAATTAGCATGATGCTAATTACAGTCTCTTGACTTCTCAAGGAAGCTAAAGTTAAAAGAACAGACATGGAGAACCTGTGGGTCTTGGTTTTTTTTCCCCATGGCCACTGCTGGTCTGCATTCTTGCCCCCTTGAGGGGTAGCATCTCCCTTGAGGCTGGGAGGGCTTGGTCTCCGAATCTGTGTCATCTGTCTTGTCCCCTGCCCAGTTGGGTTGAGTTTGCAACCCAATCTCATCTGAATCTCCCATTTCTCAGGTGAGTAAACTAAGGCCCAGAGATGGGGTGCTTCACCCCAAGTCAGTCAGGGTCACTGGTCTTCATCTCATCAGGAATGGATCAGGCATAAGGGAATTTATTCCCATCACCACATCCTTCTCAGTTGCTGCAAAATCTCATCCCATTTTTCTCTTTCTGGCTTTTTCCTGTAAGTCAAGCCATCTCCCCCTTTCAACGTGACCGTGAACTTCTCCGGATATTATAACGTCTCTTGGAGTTCCAGTTCCAGTTCCATTCCCAGGGACTGTGTCTACGCGCTGAAGGATAAACTTCAGTATGAGCTGCGGTACAGGAAGGTTGGAGAACCCTGGGCTCTGGTGAGGCCCTCAGAGGACTGGATGGAGGGGGTCGAGGGCGGGGGCACGGGCTGTGCAGAGCATCCAGGCGGGAGGCGGGGCAGCCACAGGTGAGCCTGTAATTCACGGTCCAGAGCGGAAACCAAGGACTCGCCAGGGATGGACGCTGTCCCTGGCGCTCTCTCACTCCATGCTGCCCTCGTCTCATTTTTCCCCGGGGTAGGAGACCCTTTAAAATCCCTTCCTTCCTGCCCCTGTGTCCTCTTCTATCAGCGTGCCAAAGAGGAAGGGATCAGCACCATCCCTGGTTCTATCTCAAGTCTAGTTCTGTCACAGCAGGAGAAGGTTCAGAAATGGGGCAGCCTAGAACTGTCCCTGTATACTTAGAATGGCCACCGCTGGAGACTTCCAGAAGCATCTATGACCAAGGAAGTTCAGAGGGACTGTTGTTTCAAACGTGAAGGTTTCTGAAGGTGTTCTTTGTTTAGAATGTTGAAGAGTTCCAGAATGGCCTGATGTTTAGAACAGTCACAGCTGAAGAGTTCTAGAATTATCCATCCTTTAGAATGGTCCCAGTTGAAGACTTTCATAAATGCCATTGTTCAGACTGTCCCCAATGGAAGACTTCTGAAGGCATTGGTTGCTGAGATGCCTGTAGTTACAGATGCCCAGAAATGCCCACTATGGAAAATACCTGCTGTTGAAGAATTACAGAAGTGCCCAAGGTCTGGAATGCTGCCAGTTAAATATTCCCAGGAATGGTCACTGCTGCTCCTGGGACATTTCCAAGCCCAGCCAGGAAGGGTCCCCTGCCAGGACTGTGAGTGGATGAGCTTGGATCAGAGAGAAACAGGACAGAGCACTATATCTTAGGGAGGCCACGGGTCTGTCCTGTCCAGGCAGGAGTGGCCAGAACTCACACTGGGGCTTGATTCTTGTGGAGGGGGCGGAGACTTTGTGGGAGAGACTCCACCCCTTTTGTGGGGGCTGGTGAAGGATGGTTCTGCTCGGGGGGCGGGGCTGGACTGGGGGTTCATGACTCAGGTGCATCCTTTCCCTGTGCCAACAGAGTCCAGGGAGAAAGCTGGTCTCAGAGGATTCCAGAAGCATCCTTCTCCTCCCCTTGGAGTTCCACAACGGCACAAGCTACGAGCTGCAGGTGCGGGCAGGGCCCCACCCTGGCTCCTCCTTCCAGGGGACCTGGAGCGAGTGGAGCGACCCAGTCGTCTTTCACACCCAGCCGGAAGGTACATGTGAAACAGGGGTGGATGAATGGACACCCACTCCTTGTACTACATCTTGTCCTAGTGTGGCCACCCCGAGCCTGGCTGGAGGACCCCACTGAGTCCTGCGCCTGCTTGTGGCCACTCCACAGCATTTCTAGGGCCCCTGCTTGCCAGGCCCTGCACTGGGTGCCAGGCAGGGCACTTGATCCCCCCAATACATCTGTGAAGTGGGAATTATTGTGCCCATTTTGCAGATGATAGAAGGGAGGCTCCAAGAGATTAAAATCACTTGCCTAGGGTGGGGGTTGGACCCAGGTCCCTCCCACTGTGAGGTACCAGCAGCCTTCCCGCCCTCTTCCCCTCCAGCCTGGACCCAGTGCCCCCCCACACGTGCATGGCCTCTCGTAAAGGTCAGCCAGTGTCACCCATGTTCGCTTCCTTCCCAGAGAGAAAGGGAGACCTGTACCTTCAGCTGGTTCCCATCCTGCTCATCCCGGTCTGCTTCATCTTGGTCTTCTTTGGCCTGAAGGTCCCTTGGAGGTGAGGCCAGGGCACAAGGAGGCAGGGAGGGATTCAGCCTGGGCCAGGATTTGGGGGACACCTCTAGGAGCTGGAGTGCCCAGGGCCTCCACTCCCTGACTCCTCACAGCCCCGTGGAATTGAGGGCAGGGGAGGAAGTCGGGGCTCAGAGCGGGGCAGCATTGGCTCAGCACACAGTAGGCAGTCCAGCCTTTTAACTCTGTGCACCTTCAGGAGACTCGCTGCCCCATTTTACAGGTGTGAAAATTGAGGCCTGGGGCAGAGGGGCGGAAGGGAGGGGCCCGAGTTGTGTCTTGGAGATGCTGAGTCTTCCGCAGGACACATTTGGGGTGCAGCTGAGCAGGAGGCCCAGCTGCCCTCTGGGAGATGCTGGGGGACTCACCTGGTCTCTACCTTCCCAGGCCGTGGGAAAAGGTGTGGCTGCAGGTGTCCAGCCCGAAGCCCTTCTTCCAGCCTCTGTACGTGAGCCACAGCGGAGACTTCAAGGTGAGCATCCCCACCCTGTGATGAGCCTCTTGCCTTCTGGGAGCTTGCGTCTCCCCTCACACCTCGACCCCCCAGCCCCACCCTGTAGGTCAGGGACACCCAGATCCCCGCCCAGCCCGGAGCCAGACTTCATTCTCTCCATCCACAAAGTGGCTTCAGTCTCTCCATCCCGAGTGCAGGAAGGATTTCCCCTTGGAGCAGGGTTGGCATGGGTGTTAAACAAGATCCTGCAGCATTTCTCAGGCCAAGGAGTCAGACTGGGGCAGAGGGTGAGCCAGGTGGTCCCTTGAGCCCCAGATTGGCCTCCCAGTCCTTTCGTAGAAACCCTTGCTCTGGAGGTGGGGAGGGAGCAGCTTCTGGGAAGGAAATGGCCCCACCTGCAAAATACATGGGGCCCCCACCCCCGCTGCCAGCACCCATGGGTTCTCTGTGCCCATTTACCGCCACCCACCCCCCCGGAGGCGGCAGCCACCGCAGAGAGGATGTGGTGATGGCGGGCGGGGCAGACAACCTGCTGCAGCCAAGCCTGAAAGTCAGGAGGTGCAACCTGCCGGCTGCCTGGCCATCACGGAGCACCGTCTCGCCTCCGTCCTTTCACCCTCGTAGCAGACCCTGCGAGTGGGTGGTGGGTGTTCCATTGTCCCAGGGGAGACACGAGGAGCCCAGAGACTCAGGCTCAGAGACAGGCAGGGGCGGGGCCTAGGTTCCAGCCCACGTCCAACCAACCTTTCCTCTTTCCTCTGCACTTTCCCTGAAGTTCAGCTCTTACGTCTGTTCTGTGTTTGTTTTACTAAGACTCATATCACCCTCGCTGGTGCACCGGGTGCTCTGCTAGGAGCTCCACAGATGTTATTCAATTTATTGTTTAACCCCACATCCACTCTGTGGAGTGAGGACTGTTAGTGGGCAAGTAACTGGCTCAAGGCCACACAGCTGAGAAGTGACTTCGGATCAGGGGTGGTGGGCCTCAGCAAGGTTCTGAGATGAGTTTTCTGACCAAGGAGGCTCAAAACTGGGAGATTTCAGTCCTCAGGGATGTTCTCTGCTGACTCGATGGAGACCTGTGTCATGAGGGGAACCCCCGGCAGGCAAGGGCAGGGAGACCCTTAAGGCTAAAGGCTGGCCGCCTCAGTGCATCTTTGCCCTCAGCCCTTATCAGGAGATGCAGGTTTGATCCCTGGGTCAGGGAGATCCCCTGGAGAAGGAAATGGCTACCCTCTCCAGTATTCTTGCCTGGGAAGTCCCATGGACAGAGGAGCCTGGCGGGCTACGGTCCATGGGGTCGCAAAGAGTTGGACACGACTGAGCAACTGAACCCCCCCCCCCACCTTATCCGTTCTGAGTGGCTGGTCCTTGATTCATTCCGCTCATTCATTTACTTAATATACATTTTTGGGGCGCCCACTGTCTGCCAGGCACTGCGTGAGCCTCTGGGGGACACAGCCGTGACCCAAGAAGCGAGGGGCTTCTGCCTGGCCACATGTCCACCCTCGTAAGGACATAAACAGGAGCAGCAAGGTTTGGAGATATCTCCCTAAAGAAAATAAAACAGGAGGCCTGGTGGGGGCGCTGACACTCAGTCCTCAGGCCCTCCTGCGCTTTGGTCCCCATGACTCGGGACTCTTGGCCCCACACCCGCACAGACCCCAGGCCAATGAGCAGCGGATCATCTGCGCCTGTAGGCTGCCAAGAGCCATGGCTCCTTGCGACTGGTGGGGAAACTGAGGCCCAGGGACGTAGGGACAGTAGGGGGGACCATCTCTGGACAGGGACACAGTGGGGTGCTAATCTCCCCCACCCCCATCTCTCTATATTCTGAAGTCTTCCTTTCTGTCTCTCTTACTGTCTATCTTGTCTCTGTGTCTGTTTATACGTAAACGGCCCACCCCTGTCCCTGGGCTTCAGAGATGGCCCAGTGGTAAGGAATCTACCTGCCAATGCAGGGGATGCAAGAGTTGCAGTTTCAATCCCTGGGTGGGAAAGATCCCCTGGAGGAGGAAATGGCAATGCACTCCAGTATTCTTGCCTGGAGAATCTCATGGGCAGAGGGGCCTGGTGGGCTACAGTCCGTTGTGTTGCAGAGTCAGACACGATCCAGCGACTGAGCACCCTTGTCCCTGCTCCCATCCATGACTCTCGCTCCTTGCCTCTCTTGCAGAAATGGGTGGGCACACCCTTCACTGCCTCCAGCCTGGAGCTGAGACCCTGGAGCCCAGGGGTGCACTTGGCCCTGGAGATGTGCAGCCCGTGCCCACTGCAGGGTGCAGCCAAGGGGCTGGTGCCCACGGAGCTGCCAGAGCCCGCAGACCTGGTGGAAGCCGACGGGGTGCCTGAGCCGGTCTCCTGGGGCCCAGTGCCCTCCACCGCCGGCAGCTTGGGCAGCTCGGTTTACAGCCAGGAGAAGGACCGGCTGTACGGCCTGGTGTCCATCGACACGGTGACCGTGGTGGACGCGGAGGGGCTGTGTGCCTGGCCCTGCACCTGTGGGGACGATGGCTACCCTGCCCTGAACCTGGACACCGGCTTGGAGCTGGGGCCGGGCACCGAGGACCCGCTCCTGAGCACGGGGGCCACGATCCTGTCTTGTGGCTGCGTCTCAGCCAGTGGCCCCGTGAGGCCGGGCAGCCTCCTTGACCGGCTAAGGCTGCCCCGTGAGGATGAGGCGGATTGGACACCCGGGCCATCGGACAGCGAGGCGGGCTCGCCCCCAGTCGGCCTGGACATGAACACATTTGACAGCGGCTTCGCGGACTCTGACTGCGGCAGCCCGGTGGGGAGTGACTTCAGCAGCCCCAGGGACGAGGAACCCCCCAGGAGCTACCTCCGACAGTGGGTGGTCACGGCCCCTCCACCTACGCCGCCAGGGTCCCAGGCCAGCTAGCGATGCTCCTGAGCCACGAGCCGCGGATGGGGTCCCCAGGGGCTGTCTCCCCGACGGGCCCCCTGTGCCTGGTGTTCACAGCGTGCATCTGGGGTTCGGGGACCCCCTGGCGTGGCTGTGCACATGTGTGTGTGTGTGTGTGTGGTCTGCGTGCCTGGGTGGATATGGAGCACGCCCTTGGTGATGCCACGTGTGTGTCTGTGCCGATGTGACTTTCCTATATGAGTGAATGTGAGCGGCACATGCCTGTGTGCACGTGAGGACAGCCTCCCTCCCTCCCAGGCACGTGGGGGTGGCTCCTGTGACACGTGCCAAGAGGCCAGTCACGTGTTGGGACCAGGGCCCTGCCTGGGGCAGACAAGCCCAGCACCCACCGCCCCCCACCCCCGGTCCTGCCTCTGGCAGCCGCACAAGGTCCATACTCTTCCCCATCACCTCGCAGGGAGTGGCAAAAGGGACCAAGCGAGCCCACAGTGACCCTGGGGGCGGGAAGTTGGGGGGTGGGGAGACTGGGGGGGCGAGCGATGGATGTAGCTCTGAATCCTGACTCTGACACCTCCTGGCTGTGCCATCTTCTGCGAGTTGCTTCTCATCTCTGGGCTGGAGTTTCCTGTCCGGACCATGTGGGTGTCCTGACCTACCCTCTGGAGAAATCAGAGAGGTTTTGCCCACATACAGTGTGCAGCCCAGACCCTCAATAAACATCTGTTTCCTTTCTTCTGCGGCCAGGACCACAGTCTGTGCTGGAGGTTGGGTGGGGCTGAGAAACCAGACTCGACCCAGGTAACTGCGGGCTGTCCCACCCTGCAGAGGGGCAGGTGGGGGCTTCTGGGCTGAAAACCAGCTTTGTTTCTTAGAATCAGCCCCTCAGCAACCAAGATTTCGTTTTCGGGCTCCTGCTGCCCGTTTGTTGTTCCCATTATGCACCCAAGAGATATTTATTGATTACACACAGGTGCTGGGATGCTGGGAGAGGACCCTCCTCTTGGCACTTACGGTGGGAGGGGAAGGCCACTGGACTAGGCAGTAAGGACACAGTGGTCCTGGTCCCTGGCATCTTATTCGTTCATCCTGCGGAGTTAGAGGAAGTCAAGTTCTTGACGGTTTGTCAGAGAGCCTGCTGAAATGTGAAATTAAGATGCTGAGAAAATACTTCTTTGCGGCATTTTGAAGGCAACTTACTGAGCGTCAGCTTTTCACAGGAGCTGGAAATTGGTGCTGCACATTGCAAACAATTCTTACTTTAAAAAAGAAAAAAAGATCCCAGGAAAATCAGAACGGACATCTCCCTAGTGGGAAATGACTTGCATATGTATTCCCCATCCCCTTCTCTGCTGCTGCTGCTAAGTCACTTCAGTCTGTCCGACTCTGTGCGACCCCATAGACGGCAGCCCACCAGGCTCCCTCATCCCTGGGATTCTCCAGGCAAGAACACTGGAGTGGGTTGCCATTGCCTTCTCCAATGCATGAAAGTGAAAAGTCAAAGTGAAGTCGCTCAGTCGTGTCCGACTCTTAGCGACCCCAGGGACTGCAGCCTACCAGGATCCTCCGTCCATGGGATTTTCCAGGCAAGAGTACTGGAGTGGGGTGCCATTGCCTTCTCCGATCCCCTTCTCTAGAGCTCGATAAAAATAAAAACAAAAAGAAGGGAAAAGAGATCACTTTTCTCCTAAGGGTGCTCACCTTTAGAGGCAGGCTTTTCAAGGCCACCGAGCAGAGTTAAAATAGCGGAGTCTGTTTCAGCCACCAGTTCTCAGAGTCCTGACGGACCCTCTGTCCCGGCCTGGCCCTGCCTGGCCCGTGGTCCTTCCCAAAAGTCAGGCTGCAGGGCAGCGCCTGAAGCTATGGCCTGTCTCTGCTTTTGGACGGGGCTGACCTGTCAATCCTGCCGATGGCTCCTCTGACTTCTCTGTAAAAGGTGGGGGGGCCGGTGGTTGGGAGAAGTCGCTGAGAGAACACGGGATTTCTTGGTTCTGAAAGTTCTAGAACATTGATGGTCTTAATAGTGGGACTGGGATCAGGATGTGCAAGGTGCAGATGGAGGGAGCACAAGTGTGAAACCACAGCTCCTGCAGGTGTGAGCAGTCCTCCCCACCCCCCGCCGTCACCCCGGAGACAGTTGGGCCAAGGTGTGCTGTGGTTTTCACACCTTCAGGGAGACCATGGGCTCCAGGCACCCCACAAGCCCCAGGCTCTCCGGGGAAGCAGCTCAGCTCTCCAGCACCCAGAGCTCTGGGCCCAGGTGTGGGGGGGGAGGGGACACCTGCGACCCCGGCTGATGGCAGGCCAGGGTCGGGGAGGGGCACGGGTCTCTGGCCTAGACCAGAAAGGGCTCCCCACCGACACTTTGGGTCTTTGAAGGGGACCCATCTCATAAAAGTCGATGCAGAAGGGAGACAGGAGCTGGTCCACCTGGGGGGCTGGAGTAGCAGGAGGGGGGTGGACAGATGACCGATGGACGAGTGGGTGCATTAGTGGGTGGACGGAGGCGTAGAAGGATGGTCAAGGCTGGAAGGAAGAACAGTTGGATGGATGGATGGATGAATAGCTGCTAGAGACAAGGATGAAATATCAAACACAAACTCCAGGAAGGCAGCAACTTTGCCTCTTGTGTTTGCTGCTTCACCCCCGATCAGGCACACAGGCAGCCCTCAGCAAAGCCTGATTTGCAGTGCTTGCTTTCCAGGGTGTAAATATTTCATCACGGTCAATTTCAAGCTCCCAACTCGATGGCTTTAAACACGGGATTGGAAGACATGTTTATAATCGACACTCCTAGCTGGTCTGAGGCAACTGCAGCACTTGGATGGGAGATCAGAACAGGCAATAGAAGGGCCCTGGGGGGTCTTCCGGGAGGAGGTGATATTTGTTGGGCTCTGAAAAAATAAATACAAGCTCTAAGGGACACCAGCTACTCAGGCAGAGGGAAGAGCTTGAGCAAAGGCATGGAAGTGTGACCAAGCTTTAAACACGGGGTGAGGGGGTGGGGGTGGAGGTCCCCTGTCACCCAGAGTCCAGGCCATACAGTTACTAACAACCCTGTCTTTAGAGGCAGGGGATGCCACCCACTGCTCCCGGCCCAGCCCTTTTCCACCTGCAGGCTCCCAGGGGCGGGATATCCATTCAACAAATGAAGTAAAGATGCAGAAGGGACTGGTGACTTTCTGCGGTCACACCCTGAATTAAAGGTCAGAGTCAGAGCTTGAACTCTGGGCTCCTGACCCCAAGTCCAAACTCTCCCCACCTTGCTCTGCTGGAAGGCACCTGGGTCAGGAGGGCAGAAACACCCATGGGTGCCTGAGCTTGCGTCAGCATCAATGGGGGGGGGTAGAACCCCAGCTCTGGGAACAGCCATGTGACCCAGGCCCCTCCCAGAGAGCATGCCATCCTCCTGGCCTCAGTGAGGGTTCAGGGTCAGACATGTAACCCAAGCTGGTCCATGTGTCTTTCCTGCTCAGCTGTAGGGGTGGACTAAACCCGGAGCTGCTGGGGATGGGGGTGGGTTAGAGGGGAGAACCAGGAGGGAACAGCCCTCTGAGATGAGGCCAACACATTGGAAAGCAGAGCTGGGAAGTGGACCCATATTCCTGACAGTACCTCTTAAGGTCTTGGATCCGGCCATGCCTGAAACTACACTCCCCCTGGGCTTTGGAGGTACGTTGAGTGTAGACATCATACTGTTCACCGACTACTTCCAGCTCTTGGTCTCCTGTCCCCCTTGTGGTCAGATGGTGCCACATGACCAGGACTGGCCAATGGATTGTGAGCAGAAGTGATAAACCTCACTTCTGGACCAGAGCATTGATCTGACGGCTGTGATGTCCTTCAGAGCGCTCCTCTGTGGCTCAGTGACCAGTGGTGTTTGAGATGGGGGCTGCTCCATCAGACCCGGGCCTTGAGTGGGGAGATGTGGAGCAGAGCGTCTGCTTCACCTGTGATGGACATGGACTGTGAGCAAGAAATAAATCCTTTATTGTAATCTGCTATGATTTGCAGGCTGATTGTTACCATAGTGTAACCCAGCCTATCCTGACTGAATCAATGAGTTGTGGTGTCCATAACTGCAGCGACCCCATGGACTGCAGCATGCTGGGCTTCCCTGTCCTTCACCATTTCCCAGAGCTTGCTCAAACTCATGTCCATTGAGTCACTGATGTCATCCAACCATCTCATCCTCTGTCGTTCCTTTCTCGTCCGGCCTTCAATCTTTCCCAGCATCTGGGTCTTTTCTAATGAGTTGGCTCTTCACAGCAGGTGGCCAAAGTATTGGCGGTTCAGCTTCAGCATCAGTCCTTCCAATGAATATTCAGGATTGATTTCCTTTAGGATGGACTGGTTGGATCTCCTTGCAGTCCCGGGGACTCTCAAGAGTCTTCAACACCACAGTGAAAAAGCATCATTTCTTCAGCACTCAGTCTTCTTTATGGTCCAACTCTCACATCCATACGTGATTACTAGAAAAACCATAGCTTTGACTGGGAAAACCAAAGCTTTATGGACCTTTTGTTGGCAAAGTAATCTCTGTGTTTTTTAATACAATGTCTAGGTTGGTCACTGGTTTTCTTCCAAGGAGCAAGCATCTTTGAATTTCATGGCTGCAGTCACCATCTGCAGTGATTTTGAAGCCTAAGAAAATAAAGTCTGTCACTGTTTCCATTGTTTCCCCATCTGTTTGCTATGAAGTGATGGGACTGGATGTCATGATCTTAGTTCTTTGAATGTTGAATATTAAGCCAACTTTTTCACTCTCTTCTTTCACCTTCATCAAGAGGCTCTTCAGTTTCTCTTCGCTTTCTGTCATAGGGTGGTGTCATCCGCCTATCAATGAGTTGTAAGTTTCCTTTTTTTGTTTAAGCAGGTTTGGGAAAGGTTTCTGTCCCTTGCAATAGACAGTATTCTCATCTAACCCTTGCAGTGAGGATTGTCCTCCCATCCCAAGGAGGGACTGCATTCAAAGGGGCCTGAGGACCAGGCTCAATCACGCCTCATGAAGGACCTTG